GCTCAGTCTATATTGTTACTTTAAAAAAATTCTTTTTTATTCTGTGGGCATTTCCCTTGCAGACACAGTTCTTGTAAGTAATAAAGCCTGTGAAATCAGACTAGAATGGCTCTTCTCAATGTTACCCTTTTAGTCTTGAAACAAAATATCATTTTCCTAGGCTACCCACAGGAACTGAGACAATCTGCATGTCACATGTTGCAGAAATTAAACACAGAACATCGAGAACGATAATTCTGCACCTTTATCTGGTTCACAGAGACATTGGGGCATGCTGTGGGGCAACATTAAACTGGCTGAATTGTTTTTGTATTCCCTTGTTTCTAACAAACTTCATTTCTAACTTTTTACTTTGGAATATGTTTAGACTTACAAACAGTTTTGAAGATTACTAAGAATCAGAAAACACCTTTTACCCAGCTTTTGCTAACCTTAACAGTTTATGTCTCTGCAATGTAATCTTCAGAAACTGAAAAATGCCTTCAGTACAGTACTAGCAATTAAACTCTATGCCTTATTTGAATTACAGCAATATTTCCTCTAACCCTTTTTGTTCCAAGATCTACTAAGGTAACTGTAATCTATGACAGTTCCTGAGCATTTTCTTGACTACTCTGACTTTAACACAATTGACAAATAATGTTCAGTTATCTTCTCTGATATCTTTTAACCTAGGTTCTTTTTTTGGGGGGGGGGTTGAGACAGGGTTTCTCTGTGGCTTTGGAGGCTGTCCTGGAACTTGCTCTGGAGACATCTGCCTCTGCCTCCCGAGTGCTGGGATTAAAGGCGTGCGCCACCAACGCCCGGCTAGGTTCATCTTTTAATCTAGGTTCATCTGATGTTTTCTCATAATTAGACTGAGATCATGCATTTCATAAAAGAATATCAGGCAAGTACCTTTTGTGACATTGTATCAGAGAGATATGATGTTGGCATGACTGATTAATGATGATGTTAACTTTGATCATTTGCTAAGATGTATCTGCTAGCTTGGTTACTATCTTTCCTTACAATTAATAAGTGCATTCATGAGCCAACAGCACATCATGTCTTGGAGACAGCTTTTAAAGTACCCACCAGTAGTTACCCTAAGAGTCTAACAGACAGAATCTAGATGAGCTGAACATAGTACTGGACTCTGTATTAAATAGTTGCACACATGATGAGTACACATGAATTTCTCACTGGTTGAATGCACCTTGGAACACCAGGAATATATAGTGATCTGTCTTCTGGCTTTCAGATGGGTTGAGGAAAATACTTAGGCTCTAAAAATGTAAGGTATCTAATCTACTGGTGAAATTATACTTGCTTCTTCTAAAGCATGAAATAATATACTCCATTGACTTTCTCCATATGACTGACTGTAGCCCCTCCCCCAAGAACTTCTCCTTTAGCTTATGTTCTTTGGTTCCCAGGGAAATATCACCTCTATATCCTTTACCACTTTTATCACCATGGGAGAAAACTTGAATGTCTTGTATTTTTAATCTTCCAGGACTTTGAGTAAGTGCAAAGTAGAACTCTCCAATTTTTAAATAATTTGCCAGCATTAGCTCACTATCAATGAACTCAGTACAACTCATCTTGTAAAGAACAATCAGCTACCTTGAATGGATTGTTCTGAGCATACAAAGTAATTCTCAGACCTGGAGATGTTCCTGACAAGTGTTACTTAATTAAGAAACAAACTTGTTTTTTTTTATTTTAACAAAAAAAGAAAACAGGATCTCATTATGTAGCCAGGATTGGCCTGGAACTTGTCTCATCCACCAGACTTGCCTGAGACTCAGAGATTCAACTGCCTCTGCCTCCCAAGTGCTTAGACAAAAGGCATGTGACACCATGCCTGGCCTGAGAAATGAACTATTCTATTAAAATCAACTTATAGAACTAAATCAGTATCAGAATGGGAAGGAATTTATGATCAGCCTCTACTTTAAGAATACAATTTTGATGTGTTTTAAGAGGCAAGGATAAAGACTCATACTGAAGTCTATTTGGGCTATGGGCTTTATTTGCTGTTGAATATGTATGTGATTTTGTGGAATATTCTGACTGTGACAGTATCTTTTCCACACATTTAGAGCTGCCTTTTCAATAATTCCTCCTTGACGACACATCACAATTTGACTTTTTCAACTGCAGAGGCATCCCAAGCTCTGCTAATGTTCTCAATTACCCACAGACTTAAGTCTCACATGAACAATAGTCAGGTCTTCAGAGGAGACACTCACTGTCCTACAGTATAGGCTCTTCTGACAGTAAAGCGGTAGCTGCTCCTGCTTCTGGTAATGAAGATGCGCCCCTACTTGCTTTAGAAATAGCAATAGGTAAAGGTTCCCACCTGGCTTCTCACCTCATCCTGCTTGGACCCATCAATATCAATTTGTGGTGTAACTGGCAGCCTTGTATGTTTTTAAACTAGGGGTAGGGCCTTGTGAGATCTCCCCCATCCATATAGACATATCAACTGGTGTTGTCCTTGTGTGAGTCTTGTTTAGGTAACCATATTGCTGAGATTTTATTATTGTTGTTTCCCTGTGATATATGGAAGACAGTATCTCACACAGACATTATGGTCCTCCAGCTCTAACAATCATTCTGCCTCTCTTCCCCAATATTTCCTGCACCTTATGTTTAGGGATTGGGTATCAATTGGTGTTTAGTGCCTCATAGTCAATTGTTCTCTCTATTTTTATCAGCTGCGGATTTCTGTAACAGCCTCTGGTGCTAAAGGAAGCTTCTTTAATGAGGGGGAGCACTAACTACACTTTTCTGTGGGTATAAGGTTAAATACTTAGAGTATAGTTAGAAATTATACTGAATTAGTAAAGTAGCAGTGATAGGCTCTCCTCTAGGGTCTAGGACCTCACCAGCCATGGATAGTTGGCTGGATTTACAGTATCAGGCATGACTTGCCTCCAATTAAGCAAGATTTAAATCCAATTAAATAGTTGTTGGTTGCACCAAAGATGTAAGTACCACCACTGCACCCTGGGTATATCTTTCTATGCTGGTAATTATGGTTCATAAGTTTTATAGCATGGTAGAACTATTGATTATATTTTTCCCTTGGAAGCTTGCATAGAACCTTCTGATACTATGAGAGCTAGTCCCAAAGAAAAAGGCTTTCAAGTCAGTTACAACTCAGTTCTCCTAAGCCCTGTGTCCAAAGTGTATAGTGTCTTCAGTAATAGCATCAAGTTCTGGGAGGTAACCAATGGCAATAGCAGTAGCCTACCTTATTTTTGAGGGCCTCTTTTGAGTCCCTCTGACCAACAACTCAAAGGTGTATTATATGTACACATGTATAAATACATATATACATTAAACATGAAATACTATGTTTCTCTATGGCTTTTTCAAACATTCTTAGTGTTACCTAAACATCATTAATACTCTGAAGAGTGAAAAATTCAGACGTTCTATAAAAAAGGTTGAGTGTGTTAGATGGGTTGATAACATTTCTAAACCTCTTGTCTATGCAGTTAATCTTAGTGGAGTGTTTGTCTTAATGACAGCTCTACAGCTTAAATAGTACTGCCCCATTTTACAAATGAAAGTGAAGACTCAGAGAGGTTGAGAACCCTGAAACCGCTAGGCAAAGGTCAAACCCAGGTTAATTAGATTCCAAAAGCTAGTCCATAGATTACCATATTCCACCTTGATAGAGCAATGGTTTTGACAATAGGGGTTCAAGAGCAAGTTTGAAAATCCTTTATACATGATTCAGACAGGTATATCCTTCTGAACTTTCTGTGGGTCTCCTGATGGCTGTAGGCAAAGAAAAACACTCCATGAATTTTTCTGAGAGTTGATATATAAAATCAACACCCAGAGAAATTTCCAGCAATGATTAGGAACTTAACAGCTCCAGATATTTAAGACCTCAGTGAAATGCTGAGAACTGTTTTTTTTCTCTCTCTCCTTTTTATTCCCAATTTTCCTCA